CGCCCAACGCTGATAACGGACCAGTGAACTCTCAGTCTTACACGTGACACGTGTTTTCGATGTTGTCCGCGCCAAACACCCACGGAACAGTAGGACGTCTGTTGCCGTGCAAGGAAACTGTAAACACGCATTCTTAACAAAAGAACACGGTGTTTTCCGTGGGGTACTTGCAGAGGAGATATCTTGAAGACAGTCGGTGCTACGAGTCAGTCAGTTCTCGGTAGGAGGGAGCCACAGGAAGTTCGTAGTAGAAGAAGAATTAGAAGTCGGCCTGTGAAGACTTAACGTGTCTATTGAAGATTTTATGTGTGCTGTAGTGCAGTGATATTTGGAGTGTGACAGAGTTCCTGTGTTAAAATCCGTTGCCAGGAAAAGGATAGGGTAAATTTGCAGAGGAATAGCCATTGTTCAGATATGTTACATAGCAGCGACTAGTATAAGCAGTTAATAGAAGATTTATTTATGTGTTATAATTACAGTAATCTTGGAAGTGTTGTAATTAACCCCGTCTTTAGTCACTGATACACGTGACAGTATAATCATTGCATCAGTTCATTAATCGATGAGTATTATTACAGTTCACATCTTGTGGTTCATAACTGTATGACCAATAAACTACGGGGCTTTTGTCCGCAAGCAAACTATACCGACCGAGCGACCGCCGCTTGTCGGCGAAGTTAGTGCAACCTTAGCGTGGTCAGCACAACGAATCCCCACGGCCGTTAAGTTTGGTTTTCTAGACCGGAAACTGTATGACCATGACTGTAAATAGACCACTCTAGCACTGTTGCTTTTCTGCAGCCTAGTTCGCTCCTTATATTCCCTTAGTTCGATAGTTTTCGTCCCATTTTATTCTAAGCAATTTCAAAGATATTAACGACGGACTTCACTCTTGTGAATTCTAAGGGTCCTAACGATAGTGTATAACACTCAGAATTACTGGGGTTTCGCGTCTGATCTGTTTCCGTTCTCAGGTGAGGGGAGACGCTCTCTGTTGGGTGATTGAGGTTAGCTCCTCCCCTCACCTGAGGACGGAAACAGATCCTGTTTCCGAAGCGTTGCGTTCTCTAGCTTCTAGAATACTGGACAATGGACAAAGTCCGAAACCCAGTAATTCTGAGTGCTTACTCTTGTGGTTTGGTGTATTTCCTTTCATACGTTTCAAAAAATGAGTGAAGAATGCAAACGGCTGAACGTGGGAATCATGGCTGGACTTCGCCAGCCTAGCGATTGCTTTGTTTTGTATCGTCTTGCGGAAAAGGTTTGGTGTCACCTACTTGCAACCGATGCACTCACCTGTAGAAGAGAACGTCAGTCGTCTCTCAGATGCTGACACGATACTGACTACCACTGTGCAGGGTCTGTCTGTTGAATCTAGACGCCTACACTTGGATTTCCGGTTGACTGACGGTTGCCTTTGTCCGTTTCCGGTAAAATGGCATGAGCTGTCCATGTCCTGTCTTTCTGCTGACAGAAGTATGGAGAGGCAGAGATAATGACACCTTATTAGGGCGGTGCATTCTTTACACAATGTGCAAGAAAGGAACGGCCATGTTTGTCCGGACGTCCACGTGTTTCAACGAAAGGACCCCTGAACGAATTTTGGTGCAAACGTTCCTCTGGCCCTACCCATTCTTTTAACTTTCCCGCACTCCGTAACAGCGAAGTGCAAGTTGAACGAACTTGTGAGGTGAAGGCGCCACTAGTGAAACTTTGCAGTTGAGTAACGATAATAATTAGCAGTGGCCATAGCAACGGTAGGGACTACAATAAGAATGAAGTGGCGTTAATGACGGAGACCAAAGTAATTAAGTACGTATGTATAAGGTTTTCGAACTTCCGAAAGTGTGCGAAGTCAGGATGCTGAGGTGTAAAGAGCGCGCGTGGGAAGTGTGTACATTTCGGCCCAAGTTGTACCTTGCCAGTCTTGTTCTCTCGTCGCCTTGTCTGCATTCCAGGATACTGCAGATTCATAAAATAGTTGTTTTATTTTTGGTTCGTTATGAACAGGCAAACATAACGGCGAACTAGCGGATTGCCGTAGAGATGTTGACGAGTTCGGCCATCTTGAATGAGACTCATCATAGTTCTCGTTATTTTCAGACGAATGCCGGGATGGCATCCTAAAGGAGTCCGCTACATCTCCATCGTACATGACTTCGTATTTTCCATTAATAAATTAATGTCATATCATTTGACACTACATAATCCTAGCGCTTAAAAGGTGAAGTCCCCGTGTCCAGTTAAGCACCATGCCACAAGGACTGTGGGAAGTGGATGTGCAGCTTGACATGTTCTTAAACTCGGCATTAGATAGAAGTCAGTAGTGATCAGCATCACACTCCGGCTTATTTACTTCTTGGGTACCCATTGGAAGGCACGCGGTAGCATAGTTGGTTGAGGCACTATGCTACAAGCCGCAAGGTTGCGGATTCGAGTCCCGATGAGGTAATTTTTTTTTCAATTGACCTAATCCTTCCAGCCGCGCTATGGCCCCTGGGGTAGACAGCCTCTAACAGAAATGAGTACCAGGAATCTTCCTGGGGAGTAAAGGGCGGCCGGCGCTAAGGCTGAAAACCTTACCGCCATCTGTTAGCCGATTTTCTAGAAAATGTTGGGCCGTCAACGTCCCACAACCATATGGGCCTCCACGGCCTGTTATGGGGTTAGCTTTACCTTACCTTTATCTCTTTGTTGGGTACTCATTGAATAAGATGCTAGATGGCCCCAGAGTTTGTCGGTAAGAAGCGGAAAATTGTGGTTAAGTTTAGCTTCCAAAGGTTAATTGTATTTCGACGTAGGAAAGGTTAAGTAATTAAATTTCTATTGTATTATGAAGAACTTTGTGATTTTACACTTCCTACTATAGCTTGTATTTTTGGTGCAAAATATACTGTAAACCTGTAGTGGACGAAGGTGCTGCAAAGCATTGAGAAACGAGGAAAGTGGCCTAAATACAAGAAATATTCCTGCTTGAATGTCTCCAAATACAGAAGTGAGAGACTAACGTTAAAATAAGCACGACGATGTAACAGCTGTATGTACAAAACCCAAAATAACATGCCTAAGTTTACTTACATTATTTTACACATTATATCCCTAGTAATTATTCGTCATTGTCAGCATTTTAAAATGTCATTAAGGGAATCATGCCTACTTAATCAAAGTTTGCTTACGAAACGTCATGGCAGATTGTTGCAAACATATGCCTGAACTTGGAGCTATGCATTCTGTTTAATCATGTTACTTGTTTTTAAGAGTGTGAGTCGTTGGCCGTAGTTTCATGGCCCCTCTTCTTGTTATAGCATGGAAAATGATGCTTTTATTTCGTTATTGTTCTGCAACTCGCCGCCAGATTGCACCCGACTCAGCACAAAATACGTTCAACAATAGCTGGGTGTCCAGACTTTTCCAGCGATAAACATCGTATAATAATAAATGTTTCTTATTCGGGCAGCAGCTTATTAACCGACTTTCGTGTGAATCAATGCACCCTGTTCAGCAATATCGTCCTGTAAAGATGGCGGCTATTATTCGCACTCTTAATTGAATGAGAAGCCCCAAGTACCCAGGTATTAACACGCCTGGGGCTGTTTGAGTCTCGTTTTGCAAACAATACTGGAACTTCCATGAAAGCAGGGACGCATTTAGCTTGGTCTTAGGGCCGCGCCATAGCTCAAGCGGTTAGTCGCTGGCTTCCCACCGCAGCGGCCCGGGTTCGATCCCGGGTCTGGTCAAGTGGGATTTGTATTGATCAAAGTGGCGCTGGGGCAGGTTTTCTCCGAGTATTTCGCTTTCCCCTGCCAATCTTCATTCCTCCAATTGCTCCACAATCACCCTCACCTATCATTTGGGGCCTGGTACAATAGGCCAGAAGTGGCCGCAGTACAAGGGACTTAGTCCCACCCCACTAGCAATAAAAAAAAGCTCGGTCTTACACCACCTGTCTGGTACAGGAGTACTAGTTAAATTTACATCCTTCATACCAGAGCTCTCAACTGGAAACAATCCGGAGCCAGTTCAATCCATTTCACATTCCCATGACATGATTTTCTTTTATCCCCATCTGCTCTGGGCACTCAGAGTAAAAGTAATCAAAGTAAAGCTATCCCTGTAACAGGACGTGGAGGCCCATAGGGTTGTGAGATGTTGAGGTTCGCAAATTTTCTAGACAATCGGTTCACAGATGGCGGCAAGGTTGTCAGCCTTACGCGTCGGCCGCGCTTTACCACCAAGAAGATTCCAAGAATATTCCTGGTGCTTGTTTCTGTTAGAGGCTTAGTCGACCCCAGGGCCATAGTGCGGCAGGAAGGATTAGGTCAATTAAAAAAATACAATCCTCATCAGGACTTGAACCCCCGACCTTCTGGCTTGTAGCATAGTGCCTCAACCAGCTACGCTACCGCAGTTATTTTATAAGAGAATTCAGGAATAATAACTCACAATAGGCCTTGGCACTTACCACTTTCTCCTGCTTTGTTATTCGACACTGCATAATCACATCAGTTGATATACGATTAGTAGTATTGTAAAATATTCCAATTTCTAATTAATTAATAGGATAGTGAAGTTATTTGATGGGTAGATTATTTTTAAAATGTTTAAAGGTATAAACTTGTCCCGTGCTTAACTAATTAAGCAATAGATCCACATTTTCTTCATCTCGATATTAGTTTAAGGTCAAAGGTCAGCTTCACGCCCCTGCCGCTTTATCCCCGTGGAAAGAGCTCCCGGTACCCGCTGGATAGGAGGTTGTGCGAACTCCATAGCCGGTCTGGACGACGTGGAGAAGAGAAAATTCTTGACCCTACCGGTACTCGAACTCCTACTTCACACTCGTCCAGCCCGTAGCTAGTCACTACCGACTATGCCATCCCGGCTCATTATTTTAAGTTTTATTTTATATTTCTGGAAAACTGCCTGTATCTGTCCTGACAGTTCGTGGGTGTCTGTGCCGAATGTTTGTGACTCCGATTGTGATTATAACTTTTGTGTTGCAGACTTCCTGTACAGACATAACGTGACGTTTGATAATGTCACGACGGAGGTGGAGATCTTGGACACGTCGAAGTGCGCGGTGAGTGGACTAATCACGGACTGCACGTTGTAGACCTGCACGAAACTGTAGCTTCTAGTAATTAGGGAAAAGTGATAGTTTTAGTTTATAATGACTATGAATGTGTGGCCTAAGAGTGCAAAATGTATTTCCTTGCTTCGTTATTATGACACTACCCCAGTTTCGCCTCATTTCTTTTTTCTAATATAGCGAACCAAACGTAACATTGTGGCCTCTTGCAGTAGGGGTCCACTATTTGCAGGTTTATGGGACAGAGATGTTTGTTTTTGTGATAATTTATCTGCAAGAAAGTAATTTTTTATGTTCATGAAGTTTCCAGTTGTAGGCACTTCCTTGAATTTATGCATGGCAACTTTGAACCGTGACTGCCTTTGTTGTGTAGTGGTCAGAGTTCCTGGCTACAGATCCTGAGGTCCCGACTTCGATTCCCGGCCCTAACAGATTTTCTGAGAAACAATGGGTCTACAACGGGATCCGCTCAGTCTCGTGAGGATAATTGAGGAGATATTTCAAGGAAATAGCGGCTCCGGTCTAGAAAACCGAAATTAACGGCCGTGGGGATCCGTTGCGCGGACCATGTGACACCCTCAATCCGCAAAAGTTGGCACTAATTTCGCCGACAAGCGGCGGTGGCTCGGTCGGTATTATTCGCTTGCGGACTACAGACCACGTAGTTTGTAGCGTTGTACGATTGGAATCCCTTTTACGTACTTAATGTAGTTTCAGTTTTCTGAAAATCGAGCGGAACACTACTGTTTAGAGATTAATCGATTGTTCAATGTATTCTGAAAATATATCAAGAAAATACTTCGTTAGTTCTAAAAACGTATCTCTAGAGAAAGAGTGTTGAATCTTTTACAGTTCTGTTCGGAATTAGGTGAGTATACATTCCAGTAATATGCTTTCTTGCTGCATTGTGAGATCAGACAAGCGATAAAAAATGCCGAACCATTTATTTGTCCTTGGCTGTAACGTGTAAGAAACATGGTCCACCGCGGTCAAAGAGCTCTAAGCAAGGTAAAAGGTAAAGTAAAAAAAAACTATCCTTATAATAGGCGATGGAGGCGTAAGGTTGTGAGAGGTCGAGGCTCCCACATTTTATAGACAGTCGCTCACAGATGGCTGTGAAGTTGTCAGCCTTACGCGCCGGCCGCCCTTCACCCCCAGGAAGATTTCTGGTACTCACTTTTGTTAGAGGCTGAGTCGACACCAGGGTCATGGTGTGGCTGGAAGGAGTACATCATTTTAAAAGTCCAGTGACCTCATCGGGAATGGAACCCGCGACCTTCCGGCCTGTAGCATAGTGTCTTAACCAACTACGCTTCCGCGTGTACGAATTCGATCGAGGAGCGGGATTGAAGTGAATATGAAATGTTTTGCGTGTTTCCACGCTATACGTAAATTGCCGTCATCAGACCGACAAATATCTCCTAGTATTCAAACTGGCCTGTACACATAGGACTGTTACAGTCAGCTGTAGTTTGCAGTGCGATTGTTCAGCTGCCCAGGCGGAAAAGCAGGACTGGACATCCTGGTCTGGAAGTGCTTAAGTGACTTTAAAAGGTAAAGTTGCCCCTGTGCATAACTAATTAAGCACTACGCCTAGAAAGCGTACGGGGTGCTGGATGTATAGACCTCGGCACTGGTTGGAGGTGAGTGGTCATCTTCAAGCCCCGGCCGCTTTACCCCCGGAGAACAAGAGTCTCCGGTACCCATCGGATAGAAGTCTTGAGTGGGCCACAGAACCGGTTTGGACGACATGGAGAAGAGCAGATTTTTGCCCCTACCGGGACTCAGTCGTCCAGCCCGTAGCCAGTCGCTATATCGACTGTGCTATCCCAGCTCTGCTCAATTGACGTAGCGAGTGGAAACTTACTAGGATGCGTTTCGTGGTAAAGTTTAATGCCGTGCCGTAAGAACGAGTGCGCTATCAGCATCGTGCAGCATTAGGCCTAGAGCCTAGTTCTGTTTGTGTACATAGACCTAATTGCGCAAAATCCGCATACTCTGCATACCGACTGGTAATAAAAATTGTTTACATTCCTGTGTTTAATCTTCATAGTAAATTAATTCCTTCAAAATAAGATAAGGCCAAATTTCAGAGTCCACTTATGTTTAATTTCAAGTTTCCATGCTAGAGGGTGTTAAGTGTAACTATCATCTAAATGCCCATTTCTCAGCTAATGTGTAAAACCATTTCGATGCTGCCAAGAAATTAAATTCGCATAGTGGGGGGTGGAGTCCAGTTGGGGGCACGCGGCAGCGTAGTTGGTTGAGTTACTAAGCTACAAGCCGGAAGGTCGCGGGATCGAATCCCGATGAGGTCATTGGATTTTTTTTTTCAATTGACCTAATCCTTCCAGCCGCACTATGGCCCTGGGGTCGACTCAGCCTCTAACAGAAATGAGTACCAGGAATATTCTAGAAATGTTCTTGGGGATAAAGGGCGGCTGGCGCGTAGGGCTGACAACCTTTGCTCCATCTATGAGCCGATTGTCTAGAAAATGTGGGAACCTCAACATCTCACAACCCTATGGGACTCCACGGCTTGTTACAGGGATACCTTTTTTTTTTTTACGTACTTTTTACTGAGGAACCCAGTGAAACATTTCAGAATAGCTTGTCTCTAGGTTTAGACCAATTGCGAAGAAGATATAACCACGCGACTGTCTGTGAAATAATTGGCAAGTATGTGAATGCTTTATCCCAAATGGGCTCAAAGACATGAATGCGAATTATTATGAAAAGTTATTATTATTATTATTATTATTATTATTATTATTATTATTTCTGGCTGTTATGTGTAAGGTAAAAGTAAAGCTGTCCCTATGCNCTTTTTACTGAGGAACCCAGTGAAACATTTCAGAATAGCTTGTCTCTAGGTTTAGACCAATTGCGAAGAAGATATAACCACGCGACTGTCTGTGAAATAATTGGCAAGTATGTGAATGCTTTATCCCAAATGGGCTCAAAGACATGAATGCGAATTATTATGAAAAGTTGTTATTATTATTATTATTATTATTATTATTATTATTATTTCTGGCTGTTATGTGTAAGGTAAAAGTAAAGCTGTCCCTATGCTTAACTAATTAAGCACTACGCGATGAAGGCGTATGGAGGAGTGGATGTATCGATCCGCATTTTCTTGACCTCTGCACTAGTTGAAGGTGAATGGTCGGCTTCACGCCCCTGCCGCTTTAACCCCCCGGGGGAAGATCCTCCGGTACCCTTTGGATAAGAGATTGAGTGGGTCCCAGAACCGATCTGGACGACGTGGAGAAGAGAAAATCCTTGACCGTAGCGGGACTTGAACTTCGACCCCTCTGTCGTCCAGCCCGTAGGCAGTCCCTATACCGACTGCGCCATAGGTGTAAGGCAAAAGGGTGAAACTAAACCTGTAACAAACCGTGAAGTCCCCTAGGGTTTTGAGATGTCCAGGCTTCCATATTTTCTCTAGACAGTTGGCTCACAGATGGCGGTAAGGTTGTCAGCCTTGTGCGCCGGCCGCCTTTTAGCCCCCAGGATGATTCCTGGTGCTCATTTCTGTTAGAAGCTGCGTCGATCCCAGGGCCATAGTGCGGCTGGAAGGATTAGGTCAATTGAAAGCAAACCCAATGACCTCATCGGGAATCGAACCCACCATCTTCCGGCTTGTAGCATAGTGCCTCAACCAACTACGCTTCCACTTTCCCCCACGCTATATGTGTACACATAATTAAATAAATTGAATCTAATTATTGTAGTTACGTTGAAACCCCGGATTGTAGTTCCCACGCTTTCCGTGCCCATGTGGCAACCCCTTGCTGTGTCTCCCGTCAGCAGGGGGTTGAACTGAGGCGGATGCTCACTTTGAAGGCAGGGAGAGGTCAGAGGATCAATCTCAGTAGTTTATCACATAGACGGAACCTCGAATTGACACTCTCACACATTTGTTGGAACGTTTGTTGGTTGAGTAGATACACGTCTGCATATGAACTTACACTTGCGGATAGCCCAGTGCCTGTAGGGCTTGCAGGGCTGTTACTCATTGCTTCAGTGCAAGATAAATGAGCGGTCAACCTTACGTTGCACTAGGGGATAGACTCCGCTACCCAGCGGACATGAGGCGAAGTCGGTTGCAGAGCCGTTCCAGACACTGCTGGTAAGGAGAAGAATTCCACCTTTGCCATTTTCACTGTCTTCAAAAGACTAATCGTACCGGTAGAAGGAATCAGAATCTCTGGGTTTTGGGGCTTTGTCCGTCGTCCAGTTTTGGGTAATTTAGATGAGAAATGATAACCTGACGATTAAGAGGCTTGCAGCATGTTTCAAAAGAGAGTCTTGAGGCAGAATAATATGGGTTATGGTCCAGAGAGGCCCGAAACCATGAGTGATTGTGCTGTCGAGGGCCAGTTCTCTCTAGTTCAAAAAGAAGTAATTAGTCTACATCCTACACAGTTTATTGGATATNTCCTGGGGAAATATAACGAGAAGTTTTTGTTTGATGTAATTTAGGTCAGAAATGATAACGTGAAGATTAAGGGGCTTGCAGCATGTTTAAAAAGAGAGTCTTGAGGCAGGGTAATATGGATTATGGTCCAGAGGGGCCCGAAACCAGAAGTGACTGTGCTGGCGAGGCCTAGTTCTCTCTAGTTCAAGAAGAAGTAATTAGTCTACATCCTACACAGTTTATTGGATATAATCAGTTGTCAGAGGACTTCTTTACAACAAAATTAACCCTTTAACTTCTACCGTAGATTCTAAAGGGTTCTGACGATGGTGAATATCAGTCAGGATTTCTGGGGTTTTGGAATTCGTCCATTGTCCGGTATTCTAAAAATCTGATAACACAACGTTTCGAGAACTGGATCTATTTCCGTCCTCAAGTGAAGTGGGGGACACTTACTCTGTTGGGTCCCTTAGAAAGAGCTAACTGGACGGAGACAGATCCAGTTCCCGAAACGCTGTGTTGTCAGGTTTTTAGAATATGGGACAATGGACGAATTCCAAAACCCCAG